ATAAATACTGTGGTTCGTCTTTGTTGATGTACAAAGAAAACCTTTTTTCTAGATCTATCAACATGCTTTCAATTTGAAAGATCTTCCTGTGTAAAAATATCGCTTCACCGTATTCAACATCAAGTACGTTTTCATAATTAATAAAACTCTTCAAAAAGTAAGTAATCTTGCCGTGCTGCTGAAAGTAGTGACTCCACGTGTTTTCCATTTCTGACTTCAACAGGATTTGCTCTTCCTTGGATCGGTCAAGCAAATGGCATAAATCTATAGCCTTCCGTTTAACAGTAAATGGAACTGAACAATCTTCATCAGTAGGTGCAGCTAGATATTCACACCAAAAATCATTGTCAGGATCTTTGACAGCATCTAATGTTAATGCGGTATGTGTATGATTAGAATGTGATTGTTTCGCCTCGTTATAAGCTGCGATATCTTTATTGACATCCTTTGTTACTCGAGTAATTTGCTTCGAAAGTCTGGATGCCAACGCTTGACCATCTGAAAAACAGAACAAACATACAGAAACATTTACAAACATACAGAGAACATTACAAAGAAGGCAACATGTAAAGTAATTTACAAACATTGCAAGTGGTATGGAACATTTATGAGATACGTATAGTTACCACAGTATTTAGACTTAAGATTTAGGAGAAACCATCTTTCAACAACATTTTTCCTCATTCAAGACAAAACACGTTTTTCTTTCCTAGACGCAACCTCGCGTTTTGCATTTTCGTACTCTGAGTCAGTATTTTGCCAGCGTGCAGAAATTGAGTTTTCCCTTTCCATGATCTTCAAGTGCTCGTCAATTCTAGACAGTAAATACCAACTTATTACAAATATAAGACACGGTCAGACAAGCACCTGCAAGTTGCATATAAATTTCTACTTGTACGTACGTATAAAAACAAGAAATATTTTTTATTCGATATTCCAACTTAGTATTCACAATGTTACGACGTACATTCATAGCTTCAAAATTTTCCCACTTCATTTTTCTAAATTCACACTGTTTAAGACTTTAATATCTCTAGAAACATGTTGAACTTTTCGAACATACTTTTTCATCTGATTAAATCAAACAGTCAGTTCACTTGGATCAGTGCAACCATTCCATCGATGGTAAAGATCAGCGTACAAGTCCAGGTATATAACGTACTTGCATTTCCAATCTTCTTCTTCTGTAAGTTGTTCAAGATTTACGTATATTTGTTAAAAAAAGTTTTCTGTGGGTAAAACATTTCCACATAATGAGCATCAATAATTATGTGTCAAATCTGTTCCTTAGCTACAAGCCATTGTTTCTCAATTACTAACCAGTCTCAACTTCACGACCAAAAAAAGTCGATTCGTCCTTCATCCACTCACGAATATCATCTATTGAAATGCTGTGAGCTTTAGATAATGAAAAAAAGAAAATTTACTGCTTTCATGTGAGTCGTAAATAGTTCATATCCAAAATCGGAGTCAAATATAATCACACAGCAAATACAAACATATACTCACACGGAAAGCACCTGCATAACTTTTCAATATCTGATTTTGCAGTTTCTTCCACGTCAACAGCTCGCTTCATCCTTGCCATCAGCAAATTGCCTCAAAAAACAAAATTTAATTCATACCTGCTATTACATAATATGATGACATGTTAGCTATGTATATGTTCAAACAAAGAAAGAAAAACTAGCTATACCTAAATTAATCTTCGTTTTCTTTCCATAATGTAAAAGAGCATCACTGAGTACATCAACTCTGTGACTTGGACGCATTTCTTTAGTCATTCTGCTAAATTTGCGAATGTAAGCTCACAATCTCTCCAACATCTCACCGTCAGTTAGGCCAAATCCTTCTTTACGACGGGGACTAAATTTAACCTTTTACAAGAAAGATTTAGTAAACAATTATTGAATTTTTATCATTTTATCATCTACAATACCATTAGTTATGATAGCATAGGTATCACCATCTGTTAATACGTATGAAAAATAAAAACAATAACAACTAACTTGGCACCGTCCAACATGCCCATACCAGTGAAAAATTGGAATTGAATATTGAAAAATGTCAACAATCGGATCCTCAAATTCTTTTTGTAAAAAACAAAATAAAGAAAAACATGTGAAAGACTACTTTTTCAAAGAAAAAAAGTGTTGAGGGAAAAGTTATTGACTAAGGAAACAGGTAACAAAGCAACTATTGTCAATTGAATATTACCTGTAAGTGTTTCATCAACATGCATGCAACATCATACAATATGTTTATTTTGAGTGCAGGATTATCAACATTATCTTTCTCTAATTCTTGGAGAACATAAACTGCATAGCTCAATCTATAAAATATGTAGAATATTTTTTTAAATAATGCAACCACATGTATGCAAAAGCTTCAGCACTTGCACAAAGCATTGAAAGTAGCAAACCAACTGAAAAAAATAAATTTACACCATCAAATGCATGCATCCTAACCACCTCTTTCAAACCAAGAACATTTAGGTAAAAATAGAGAAAAATGTGTGTAACAGACCTCTCTCCATGTTTCAAATTTAAGAATTTTTAGGAAACTCATGTCGACAGCCTCCCAAAGATTGCTGTTTCATCAAGAGCTCTGTAGCGATTCATTGATCGAACAGCATTCCCAGCAAGAAAACCATGACACTCCTATAAGTATCAATATGTAACAAACAAAAAGTATACAAGAGCTTTATTTCCTAAAGCCCATGGCACAAATTTATTGAAAATAAAAACTATGTGGTAGAGAATGTAAAAAATCAAATATATTCAAAGCACTGTAACTTCCATGCCTGAATTTTCATTAGAATAACAAAGTATATTAAAGCTACATTGACCTTGTTTGATGTAGGTGTGGTATAATTGGCAACAAATTGATCAACATGTGTCTGATCATAGAACATCAGCTGTCCAAATAGAGGTTTTCCAAGACTCTGCCCAGCTTTTTCCTTCGTCCAATAAATAGAGCATCAAGAGACTCAAAGATCACACCATCAGTCTTCAATAAAATGGTGAAGGATAAAATCATGCAATGTATTTGAGTTCAATGATGCAAATGATGCAGTCAAAAAGGTGTTTGAGATAGCATTGCTAATGTTCTTTTTACTAAATTGTCATTGTTAAACAAGTAATACGAATATACTCACTTTGGGACAAGTAGGACAGATATTTCCTTCATCAAGCTCAGGAATAACACAGCTCAACATGTTTAGTTTATGTCTGTAAATTCTGAAAAAAACAATGACACAAAGAAAGCAATTATGCACTCTTAAACAAATGACATAAACAAAATACAGTGCAAGACAGTAATACTTGAGGAAAAATCCTTTCCCATCATAAACTTTAGCATTTTGATTTCCTCCAATTAAATACATCTCTTAAGATGAGATTCTTAGGCTATAAAATTGACTGCAACTTTCCCAGCAATTCATACGTAGTACAGCAGTGCAATAAATCAGTGACCTACATGCAGTTACCTATATTCTTCAAAAGCATCTATAATGACAGGATACATTTTTGGTGTTGCATAAGAAGAGAATATGTGGTTATGATTAAACTCTTCAAATGACTGACAAATGCTTTTTATTGATGCCTGGCATTCCATCTGCACAGAATGAATCAATTCAAAAACTCAATTGCAAATGCAATTCTTGGTTTTGTAGGTGTTCCACCCCAAAGGCCAAATTGCAGAAGTTGAACAAACTCTGAGAGCATGAGCAAAACTGTACCTCAACAGTACAAAAGGTGCCTAAAATTGAAAAAGATCCAAAATTATAATTGTGTTGAACCATCCCAGCTAAAATGAAAAACTTTTGCAGCACATTTTACATATAACATACCTTTAACATCAACAACAGAAACACTTCTTTTGTGACGAGCTGTTTGGCATGAACAATCATACACCAGCATGTTCATGAGTTTATATGGCCAAAACATGCCATCCTACAAAGCAATGAATAACCTCGTAGAAATTAGTTGTAATCAATCCCTTTCTTGCATTCATAAAAATATTAGATTAGTGCTTCGTAGCATGTTTCACAATGTAAACTCTCATTTTATTTTTGCATTTTTTGTTGCAAGTGTTGAGAGAGTTAACTGTAAACACTTTTATAATATCTAGCTCATAAAGGTTACCTTAAATATTTCAACATGATGACAAATATTTACGGTTGTGTGCATCTTTAACATACAGTTCTCACAATACTTTGCCATTGGACCACAATCGCTGCACCTAAACTTTGCTTCATTATCACAATGAATACACTTCAGATTGCTCCAATTTTTGCCAGCAAACTGAAATGTATTCTTTATAATTGAATGTCGCAAATTTTCCCATGCTTTTTGTTTTCTTTCAACTTTCTGGTAATAAGAAGATGATTCTTCACAATCATGGTGAACATCACTTTCAAGATCACTGTTATCTTGTTCCATTCCCAGTTCATGGCCTTCCAATGCACCACAATTATCAGGACTGTTAAAAGAACAGCTTCCTCTATGATCCTCAGTAACCAATTCTGACAAATCCACCTCCTCTCTCTCAACATGGCCATCCTCATCATGATATGTGACAGCTACAGTTGCTTTAAACCTTTTATTGCTCCTACAAAATTATCATAAAATCTATAAAATGAAAATAAATGTTGAAAAGTCTAACAGCTATAAGGCCGCTATTTGGTGTACCTTGGCATCTTTTAAAATTACCAGCAAGAAAATCACAAATCAGAAAATATTATCGATATTACCAATGACACAATAACATAAGTTAAACGACCAAAGTACAACGTATGTATCTCCCACGACTACCTGCCGACGTTTTGTACCCGTACTTTACCGGGTTTTAGCCACGTCTCATAAGACGAATGGAGTGATTTGTTTGGTTGGTAAAACGAAAGGGGTTTTCTTCCGGTATATTGTAGGAGCCTTTCTCCTAGGGGTAGGGTAATATATCTCACGTGACCGGAAACATCAATCATTTAAATTATTCTACAGAATCGACTAGAACGTCGCTCCTGAGATATCATGTAGTTGGTTGTGTCTTGTAATCTTTCTGAATTTGTGAAGGTATGTTGATTTTAAACTTTACCTTTCGTTGTTATATTGTATTTTGATTTTGTGATTTAATGTTTCATGTCCATTTATCGATTATTTTGTTTTTCTGTAAAATATTCTACTTCCGCGTTATGTACGTATGTAAATGTTTTATAAAAATAAATTTGTTGATTTTGGTGAGATTTGGAACTAGCTCGAATCAGGTTTGAAAAATCAACTTGTTAACTTTCATATATCTTTATATAATAATAAAAAGAAATAAATTTCTACTATATAATAGTAATGTTCTACATCGATACACATCATGTGCATGGTCACGAGGTAGTAGAGGAAATAAGATATTCATGGATAATTTCGTAAAAGCACTATTGCTAATGCGCATTTAATATACACGACAAGTTTTTTTAAAATAGACATGTTTCGACATCTCATAATGCCATCTTCAGTATGAGTGAAATAATAAGTGATACAAGGTTTATATAAAAGTAATATGATACATAAATTACAACAATAAAAGGAAATAAGATAAATTAATGGAGAGCGTCCGAATGTATTATAAACTAAATATTGTATTGAATTTCAAAACTTGAACTCAATGTTCTCAACCCTGACCTCAATGTTCAAGTTTTTAAATTCAATACAATATTTAGTTTATAATACGCTCGGACGCTCCCCATTAATTTATCTTATTTCCTTTTTATTGTTGTAATTTATGTATCATATTACTTTTATATAAACCTTGTATCACTTATTATTTCACTCATACTGAAGATGGCATTATGAGATGTCGAAACATGTCTATTTTAAAAAAACTTGTCGTGTATATTAAATGCGCATTAGCAATAGTGCTTTTACGAAATCGTGTAATAAAAATGAATGCCCAACATAAAGTTTTGATTAGAGCCATAGAAATAGACCAAAAAAATTGTAAAATTGAATTTATTTTAACGTTTCGTCTTTACTCAAGACATCTTCAGACAAATAATAAATAGGATGTTAAGACCAGATATTATATTTACAAAAACGTGTTAAATTACTACTAAGGGAGGTGGTGTCAAATGGATTATATGATAAGGAAGTTAGGAAGTAAAATAAAGAGAACTTAAAACAGGTTAAGTGGAATGGAGTTTCCTTGCACGTTAAGTGAAGGCTTGTATTTATTGATTAGAAGGCTTTCATGAATGGAGAGTTCATAAGAATCGTTAGAATAGGAGATTATTTTAAAGTCGTCTAAGTTGGGGGTGTGTCCAGTTGCGTTAATGTGAGCAAAGATGCTTGATAACGCAGGGTGGGAAACTTGGTTGCCTGTAAGGGGGGATATTCCCAAGTGCTCCAAAAATCTGGTGTGTAGATGACGTGTGGTCACCGCATCGTCAACCTTTGTTCTACTTACGAAAATTTTCATACACAACTCGAATTTACCAGAAAGTCACTCACCAAAAACGGTTTTCCTTCACGTATAATTGACCAAATCACACGTCGCTTCCTTAACAACATCTCCAAACCACCTGTCTTGACTGCTCACAAAATGCCCATCTATTTTTGTCTTCCTTTCACCGGCATACACTCCCTTCAAATTCGTACACAAAACAATAGCCTTTGTGCTGCAGCCTTCCCACATATATCTATTAAATTTGTTTTCCGCCCTTCCCAACGTATCTCTTCTTTCTTCCCCTTTAAGGAAAAAACTCCCAAACCGCTGAGATCTGGTGTAGTCTACTTATTCAAGAGTCGAAGCTGCAACGCCTCGTATGTGGGTCAAATAACACGTTATCTACACACCAGATTTTCGGAGCACTTGGGAATATCCCCCCTTACAGGCAACCAAGTTTCCTACCCTGCGTTATCAAGCGTTCATTCTCACATTAACGCAACTGGACACAACCCCAACTTAGACGATTTTAAAATAATCTCCTCTTCTAACGATTCTTATGAACTCTGCATTCATGAAACCCTTCTAATCAATAAATACAAGCCTTCACTTAACGTGCAAGGAAACTCCATTCCACTTAACCTCTTTTAATTTCTCTTTATTTTACTTCCTAACTTCCTTATCATATAATCCATTTGACACCGCCTCCTTTAGTAGTAATTTAACACCCTTTTGTAAATATAATATTTTGTCTTAACATCCTATTTATTATTTGTCTGAAGATGTCTTGAGTAAAGACGAAACGTTACAATAAAATCAATTTAACAATTTTTTTGGTCTATTTCTATGGCTCTAATCAAAACTTTATGTTGGGCATTAATTTTTATTACACGAATTCGATTTCCGCTCGGCAAGTCTCTCGCTACTATTTTAAGAAATGTTGCCTACTTTTACGGTGTATACCCATTCCCCCCCCCCACTATGTCTCTGTTTTTTGGGGGTGGAACAAGTTCAAACATATTATTGTCAATTAACGCTTTCATTTCATCATTCATGGCTTTTTGCCATTTTACTTTTACAATAGAGCTTATTGCTTGGGAATATGTCGTTAGGATTTTGGATACAATATAGCAATAATCTACGGTATATGAGACAGTATCCTCCCCTGAAACTTCTTTTGTCACATACTTGTCAAGATATTTACTCTTACTTCTTATCCTAGTGGGGTATCTTGATTCTCTAGATGTCTCTAGAGTGCTAATGTCTTCGTTAGTTGTTTTGGGTTTTCTTTCATTGCAATTTTGCTATCTGAGGTGCAAGTTCTTCAACATCTAGTTCTGGCAGTTCCCTGCTACCCTCCCTGAAGAACTTAAAGCATCTTACACGCTCTACCTTGTTGATGTCCGGGTAGTATAGTAGATATGCTGGACTATTTTTATCATACCCTACGAAAATACATTGTTTACTTCTAGGGTCTAACTTTTTGGAATTTTGTGAATAACCATAACAAACACAACCAAAAACGTGCATTTCGCTCAAGTCAGGTTTTGAGTCTGTAAACGTTTCGAACGGAGTTTTGTTCAACCTCGAATTAAAACAACGATTCCTAATATAAGCAGATGTCATGACGGCATATGTTCACATGGATTTTGATAGTTCCGTTTCTGCCAATAGACACCTAGCCATGTTAAATAAAGTTAACCACGATCTCTCAACTGTGCCGTTCTGGTGTGGCGAATATGGTGCACTAGTTTCATGCCGAATTTTGTTTTCTCTAAGAATCGATTTGAATTTCTCGCTTGTAAATTTAGTGCCGTTATCACTTCTTACGCGTTTCACATTTCCGTAAGGTGCAACATCTGCTAAAAACTGTTTTAATGCTTGTGGTGTGTCGCTTTTATGCTTAAGAAAATAGACCATATTCAATCCTGAATAATCATCCACAAACGACAATGCATATCTAAACCCTTCTCTTCCTTCCAGATCAATAGGACCTGCAAGATCCGTGTGAATAAACTCAAGAGGACCTCTCGCCTTTTTATTTTCCAGCTTACTTCTCGTCTGACACATTTTACCTTGCGTACAAACCTCACACTCAACTTCCCTCAAGTCTGTGATTTTCATCCCCTTAACCACCTTCTCTAGTTTCCTAACATCCTTGTAGTTGCAGTGACCTAGAACCTTGTGCCACTCGTAAAGAGAACATGCATTTTTATTCGAAGATGATATGCTATTTATATAGTAAAGTTTGCCTTTTTGTCTTATTCCAAACGTTGTACCCTCAGGTCACTGTACATGCTTATCGTGTTTATCTAATTTGACGTTTGCTCCCTTTTCTAAAGCAGCATTTACTGAGAATATATTTTCATCGTAAGATGAGACATATAAGTTATTAATAAGACATCCTGCGCATTTCCATGCAAGTCAACTAATTTGACTTTAGCAGTACCTTTACCGACTACTACGTTGGCTTTACTGCCATCTGCTAATTCAATAACATGCGCTTTACTATCAAATTTACTATCAAAATCTATAAATTTTGACTTATCGTTAATAATGTGGCTTGTAGCTCTTGTGTCCACCAGTAGATTTAAATTCGCTTTATCCTTATCCTTCACGTCTGCTTCAGCGTTCTCTTCTTCATCCTTTGACACGAATGAAAAGGAGTGTTGCCGTTCACTGTCACTGCGCTGCCCTTCTTTAGCTGACTTGGATGTTTCTTTCGTCTTTCGGCAGTCTTTCGTGTCGTGAGTCTTGGTCTTGCATATAGAGCACCATTTGTTCCCCTTCACTCGGCATTGTGAGTTTTTGTGTCCCTTTCTTCCACATTTGAAACAATTTCCGTCAAATTTTGGTTTCACATACACAACGTTGTTACCTACTTCATGACTTCGTAACGAGTTTCTAAATTCCGTAAATGTCATTTGTCTTTCCCTTTGAACTGTTACGGTAGCAAAGACGTCGTACGTGCTTGGCAGACCCTTTAAAACCATTGCAATGAGTAGTGCATCACTTATTATCTCCTCGGCTTCTCTTAAGGCTGTTGCCGATCGTTCCGCTCGCAATATATAATCTGTGACAGTCTCGTCGTCTTTTTTCTACAGCGAAGTAAGTTCTGTGTAAAGAGCGATGATGCGAGGTTTTCCTTTGCCTTAATAGTGATGTCTGAGGATTTCTAAAGCTCTCCGTCCATTGTCTTTCGCCTCCCGAATCACAAGAGACAAACTTCTGTCGTCCAGACATTGGACCAACTCTGCAAAAGCGTAAGTCATTTTGTGTGTCAGTTACACAAATTGTTAAACACCTTCCTAAATGATAATATAACTCAGTACCTCCATTTTCATTCCAACATGCAGTGGCGTCGCTAAATTGGGGCCTGGGAAAGGGGCACGTGCCCCCTAAAATTAGCTGTGCCCCCCAAGTGCCTCCATTTCAATTTGGATAAGAGTCTTCGTATGCATCATTCGAAATTGAAAAAGAAGCATATGGCATTAATGTAGTTATTACGAATTCACAAAACTTTACTGTAAAAGGAAGCATTCTACTAGCTGTGTAGACTAGTTTGCGTTTTATTTACCCTTTCTAGGTTGTTAGCCGTGTGGTAAAGAGTTTAATTTCTTAAAAATGAAAAGAACAAAACAATAATTCTAGAATATATCAAGTCTCTTGTGGGCAAGGAAGAACAAGTACTATTGTGATGCATATCTTGAACCACATTACACCATATCATAGAACTTGTATGAGATCGTGGACAAGTATACTCGTAGACTCAAACTTGTACATACAAAAATACAAATATAGCAATGACTAAGAGTAAGGTTCATGAAAATACTGCAATTCTGGGTGTATTATAAAATGAAAACATTCCATTAAAATCAATAATCAATCTACGTAACGTTATTACACAAAGAATGTACAAATCCTCCAAGGTTTAACTGAGAAGTTAAAAAATTGAAACTATTCATGTTGTGATAAAAATCTCCCAGTGTAGAAGCAGTGTTTAGGGCCATTTCGCTATCGACGGACGTGGTAATAAATCCCCCCCCCCTCCCCTCCCCTACTCGCAAAATCCTAGCCACGCCACTACCAAAATATAGCCAAATGCCTAAATGCAGGACAACTAAAATGTCCAATTGCGTTGTTTTCAGCTGCCATCCTCGATATTCATTTACACGTACAAGTAAAACTGTAACATTACGTAGCTATGTTTGATCTTCAACAATTGTAGTTGTCTATAAAGTCTAATTAAAGGACCAATTTATGATAATATTAATAATTTTATGATCTTTAGATGCAGTCAAGGGAAGAAATTAATAACTCCTCTCTGCAGAAAGTACTTACAGATGTTGAAAAGAAACTTGTTGATCTTTTTATCCAAGAATGGAACACTCATTACAAAAAATCTCTTGGAGAATGGGAAAACACAAACGTCAGTGGTCAGAAGTTGTTCAACATTGAAAGATCAACAAACATATTTCGTGATGAAAAAATATTGTCAAAACTTAAAGATGGTGACACAAGTAAGTGGGATTGCACGACAATATGTAAAGCAATATTGTTTACCCAATCAATTGGAACAAAAATTAATGATAAAGTTAGAGCTGCTGTGGACAAACTTCGTGATGTAAGAAACAAATTCATCCATGAAAATAAAGGAAAAGTTTCTGATTCGAAATTTCATACAATGGTTTGTGATATTGAAAACTCATTTCAAGATCTAGGATTTTCATTTACTGAAATTATCAAAATAAAAAGTGAACGAAATATATTTAATTCTTTTCAAGTACTTCCTTACAAATCAAATCACGATGTGGTTAAACGTACAGAATTACTTAATCAAATCACAGCAGATCTCAATAACTTGCGCAGTACTAACAATAATGAACTAACATATTACTATATTTCTGGTAATCCTGGCAGTGGTAAATCTCAATTAGCCAGACAAATTTGTGAAGAAATGTATAACTCATTTGACTGGGAAAAGAATACGACATTTGTGATGACACTCGAAGGAAAAGATATCGACTCTCTTTTGAAAACTTATGCTGAACTTTATCAACGATTAAGCAATGATAAAACTGTCCTTGAAAATATTTTAAAAGAAGCAAAAAGCAGCGAAGACAAAATCAAAGATTTTCAAATATTGCTGACACAACAACTGAAATCTTGGCAAACATGGTGGATTGTTGTAGATAATGTGGTTGAGCTTCATAAAATTTATCCATTATTACCTCAAGTTGGTGATCATAGCTGGGAAAATGGACAAATTATAGTAACTGTGCAAAATACAGATGCCATACCACCAGATGGAAATCTAAGTAAACACATTTCAGTTAGTCATGGTATGAACAATGAAGAATGTCGACAAATTTTATCTTTCTTTTCTGATGTTCATAATAAAGATGAAAAATTTTTAAAGGATTTATTAGACAGATTAGATCGTCAACCGCTGTTCCTGGCAAATGCTGCTTCCTACGTAGGTAGTGTAAAAAGTGCAAATCCGACATTCACCTGGGAGGAATATTTTCATAAGTTGAATGAAGGAAAGCGTCAGAAAATGGATGGCAATTTTGAAAAAATAAATTCAGCTTACTTAGGAATGAAAACTGTTATGTTAGCAGTTCAAAAAAATGCTGAAGAATCCATCTTGTTGGAACATGTTTTTAAACTTTTCTCAATAATATCTTTCGATCCCTTACCACAAGATGTTATAATAAAATTTATTGAAAGCATTGATCCACAAATATCTGCAGAAGATGTCTGTCTTCAATTAAAGCATTGTTCTTTATTCCTTCAAACGGAAAACAACGACATCCGCCTGCACAGCGTTGTACACGAAGCCATCATAAATTATTCATCGCAGACCTTTGCCTGTAAACAAAACGAAAATAATTCTAAAAAGTCTGCAGCTGATCTTGCCTGTCAAGTTGCTTTGGCACTAAATCATTTTGAAGACAGAGAAGATGAAATCAAAATAATTCCACATCTAATTAAATTCATAACAAATTCATCATTTCAACATTTCCTAAATAAGTTGATCGATGTAAAGTCATCAAAACAAAAACTTGATGAAAGAAATTGTAAATTTGCCAAATATTTTGTAGATGTTTTGGAAAGATTTTACAACTATAAACTTGCAACTAAAATACTTTATGAAATAACAGAAATTCAAACTAAAGTGTTAGGTGTTGATCATATTGATGTTTCATATTCGTGCAACGAGCTGGGTGAGTTGCTTTGGAAGAATGGAGAATATGAAAATGTTAGAGATTTTCTCGAGCGGGCAATGAAAACTCAAATAAAAACATTTGTACCTGACCATGTTGATATTGCTACAACGTACAACAATCTGGGTTTGGTTTACAAATATATGGGAGAGTACGAAAAAGCAAAAGATTTTTATGAACGAGCGTTAGAAATAGACACGAAAACGTTTGGACCTGACCATGTTAATATTGCGACAACGTACAACAATCTGGGTTTGGTTTACTATGATATGGGAGAGTACGAAAAAGCAAAAGAATTTTATGAACGAGCGATAGAAATTCAAACAAAAACATTTGGACCTGACCATGTTAATATTGCGACAACGTACAACAATCTGGGTTTGGTTTACTATAATATGGGAGAGTACGAAAAAGCAAAAGATTTTTATGAACGAGCGTTAGAAATTGACACGAAAACATTTGGACCTGACCATGTTAATATTGCGATAAGGTACAACAATCTGGGTTTGGTTTACAAGGAAATGGGAGAGTACGAAAAAGCAAAAGATTTTTATGAACGAGCGTTAGAAATTGACAAGAAAACATTTGGGCCTGACCATGTTAATATTGCGATAAAGTACAACAATCTGGGTTTGGTTTACAAGGAAATGGGAGAGTACGAAAAAGCAAAAGATTTTTATGAACGAGCGTTAGAAATTGACACGAAAACATTTGGACCTGACCATGTTAATATTGCGATAAGGTACAACAATCTGGGTTTGGTTTACTATAGTATGGGAGAGTACGAAAAAGCAAAAGATTTTTATGAACGAGCGATAGAAATTGACAAGAAAACATTTGGGCCTGACCATGTTAATATTGCGAGAACGTACAACAATCTTGGTTTGGTTTACTGTAATATGGGAGAGTACGAAAAAGCAAAAGATTTTTTTGAACGAGCGTTAGAAATTGACACAAAAACATTTGGACCTGACCATCTTATTGCGATAAGGTACAACAATCTGGGTTTGGTTTACAATAAAATGGGAGAGTACGAAAAAGCAAAAGATTTTTATGAACGAGCGATAGAAATTGACAAGAAAACATTTGGGCCTGACCATGTTAAAATTGCGATAAGGTACAACAATCTGGGTTTGGTTTACAATAATATGGAAGAGTACGAAAGAGCAAAAGATTTTTATGAACGAGCGTTAGAAATTGACACGAAAACATTTGGACATGACCATGTTTGGAGTCTTTAAATATGAAGTCCTTTAGCAATTCTTTACATGTATACTGAAGTACTCCTTCTAGTATATCATGCATTGCATCACCTGGCATGCCATCTGCTACATGAAAATACCTAGAGTTGCGAAGAATTGATCTCCTGCAAAGCCCATCTGCTTTACTCAGTTCTGGGTTTTCTTCAATCAGTTCACATTGGCGGTCATGACCAGCACGAGTTCCAAGTGTAAAATTTTTTCTAAAAACTGAAAGAATTACTTTAAAGTGTATGTTCCTGGTCTGCTAAAAACCATGATAAAACATTTGATCTATGTTGAAACAGGTTAATAATGTATTATCATAAACATACATACCTTCTGCTTTATTTGTTCAGTGGTCCCCATGCATTGCCGGCATTTCAAATGTGCACCTGGACCTTCTTTGAATCCACCCATGAGTTGTGATCCAAGATTGTCTCCAGAAACCAACACAATAGTCCCAGAAAATGACATAGGTTCACCTTTAACAATGAACTGGTGACCTCCATCCTCAAAAAAGAAGTGTGACAGTTAATTTTAAGCAATTTTTATCAAACTACTTACTCTGCACAATTATCAATAACAGGTAATAAGCTAAAAAACAATAAATAGGATCACTTACTTGTTCAAGGTATTCAAGGTCATTCATGAAAGGCTACAAGAGAATGTCAATGCCATATTTTTTGATAAGTGGAACTGTTGCCATAAGGAGTAGGTGAATGTTATCACACTGGGATCGATATCGAGGATCAATATTTCCAGTTGTGTAGTAAACAACTCCTGTCATACAGAAATAATGGCATATGATGTAATAAGAGCTTCTTATAGCCTTTCATTGCTCATACACTTTTTTACATTTGAGTGACTGATTTAGTCACTATAATGTCATTAAACTATTACCTAACTTATGCTTTCTAGTTTCACTACCAAGGGCATTTGCAATTTCCAACTCATCATAGTAAAGCATGATTTGTAAAGCAGTTGAGTCCTTGGAAAACAGAGGATGGGTTTTGAAATACTGGCCATCGCAAAAATCCTCAATCACATCATCATGTTTATGTTGCCAAAGATGACCATGGTTTAGCTGAAATTGAAATCAAAGAATGAAAATATTAAATTTATTGATAAATTAAATTTATTATTAACCAGCAATGGAAATATCTGGTGGTAGGATGGGTGCCTTCCTACCATCAGACATTTCAAATTAAAATCAGGCTATTTTTATATTTTCATGAAATAATTGGAATATATTTTTGGAAATGTGCTCTAATAAACGCATGTCATCATTGTTTTTGCTTTCATGGAAACTAACACAGTAAAACACACATAACGTTCCTTTTATGGTTATACATAGAATATGTATTAATATTTTGCAACCCTGTTATTGATATGTGTACTTGCAAAGATGTAGTTGTCATAGTTTGATAAACTTGCCAACATAAAAAAAAACACAACCATGCTATTAACAATCTGACCTGTTCAAGTACTCCTTTTACATTGAGCATTTTTTCCAAGGATTTAAGCAGTGGTATGTACATGATTTCGTCATCTTTAAGAATCTCTTTGTACACAGTCCTTAAACATCTTTTCACAACTCTGTGTCCAAGTTTAATTCGTCTGGGTTGCTACAATTAAAATAATGATTATGCATAACAAGCACTAAAGAGCAGCTGGCTCAAATATGTTAAAAATCTCAAAAAACGTTATTCAAAAACTCTAAACATTCTAAAAAAAGTCAAAAAACATAGAAATAAAACTTACAACTAAGCCAAAATGCTCCTCAAAATAAGCATTCTGTTTATACTTTGTGGAAATATGTTTGAATGGATTTGAGATAGCATGTCCTTCATCAAATAATTCATCAAGACCTGGCACATCATTATAATTTAATCCAGCTTTCTCTAAGCAATTTTGCAAACTGTGTTTAATTGCTTTGACTGTTCCTTGGACAAGTTCAGTGGAATCTTCTACAATGTTATCCACACATTTTTGTGTGAGCAGATTGATTTCTTTTGTTTTTAGAAGAAATTGAGCCTTTTTGTGTTCCATTGCTTGAACAGAGTCATCAAGTTCATTTTCCCTGTTGAATTCATCAATTAACAGTTCAAGGCCATCCTCATCAGGACAAAAATTGTTGTGAGTGCTACTCGCTGATTCAACGCAACATAGATGACGTGAGTTTAAGTCAACATTGGCGTGCTTTCTTCTAAGATGACTTTTGTAAGAGTTTACCTAAACAACAAATCCGTGAACGCACTAAATAAGTAAATATTTTTAACAAATAACAAACAAATCAGTGTCGTATCAAGAATCAAAAGCTTACCTTAGCGAAGGTTGAATTACATTCCGGCACTTCGCAGAGAATATGCAATCTGGCATCGTGTTCATGAACAGCGACCAAATGATGCAACATTCCAGCGACAGACGTTGAAAAAAACGTTGCACATACCTGACATAAATGATTTCGTAGCCTTGATGTGAGTATGGACGGCCACAATAATAACATTTTCTCGTCGATTCAGATTGGATGGTGGCCAACATGTCGTTATTTTTGTCCTTTGACTCAATATCCCGTGCTTGATAAGTGCTTTGCTCATCTCTACGGCCGTCCAGTAAAATATCCCTGAGTTTATACTCGGGATCTCTTAGTGTTTTCTTTCGTATCCACGAAGAAGATCCCGCCATGATTATCTGTTGTTCCACCTCAAAGTCAACATCATCAAAAGTACATGTTTGAGCTAATTTTCTCAATCGCTTATGAAATTGGTCTAACGTTTCTGATTGTTCTTGTTTGGCTTCGCGAAATTTGTACACTTTATATCGCCGATTTTTTTGAGGCTCAAAATATTCCGTTAATTCGGTTATAGCAAGTTCATATTCGCTGTCGTCGCCTGTATCGTTGAGCTGTCAAAATATTTCACGAATGTGTGAACCATCTTGACAGAGAAGTAATGTTCGTTGTTGCTTTTTATCTTTAATTTCACTCGAGATAATAAACATTTCAAAATCAGCAAGCCATGTGCTCCATCGAGTTGCCAAGCTTACACCAAGTATTTATTCAACAAAAACCTTTTTTAAACACCTTTATTATCCAGCGTACGTACGTTGGGCGGCTATTACCCACGTATATATAACATCAATTTTCATCATATACTACATTGTATAACTATCAAAAAATTACAAATGACAGTTCAAAAAGTATTTATTCAACAAAAACCTTTTTTAAACATCTTTATTATCCAGCGTACGTACGTTGGGTGGCTATAGATCCATTGCATGAGTAGTATACAGAGCGTCGTTTCTGGCTCACCTCAACTTGAGAAAGCGTCGTTTCTGGCTCACCTCAACTTGAGAAAGCGTCGTTTCTGGCCCACCTCAACTTGAGAAAGCGTCGTTTCTGGCCCACCTCAACTTGAGAAAGCGTCGTTTCTGGCTCACCTCAACTTGAGAAAGCGTCGTTTCTGGCTCACCTCAACTTGAGAAAGCGTCGTTTCTGGCCCACCTCAACGAAAGCGTCGTTTCTGGCTCACCTCAACTTGAGAAAGCGTCGTTTCTGGCTCACCTCAACTTGAGAAAGCGTCGTTTCTGGCTCACCTCAACTTGAGAAAGCGTCGTTTCTGGCCCACCTCAACTTGAGAAAGCGTCGTTTCTGGCTCACCTCAGAGAAAGCGTCGTTTCTGGCTCACCTCAAGAGAAAGCGTCGTTTCTGGCTCACCTCAACTTGAGAAAGCATCGTTTCTGGCACACCTCAACTTGAGAAAGCGTCGTTTATGGCTCACCTCAACTTGAGAAAGCGTCGTTTCTGGCTCACCTCAACTTGAGAAAGCGTCGTTTCTGGCTCACCTCACACCTTGGGACCTATTATACAAAAATCTAAGTGCCCCAACCCTAGTTCGCGTACGTATGCTAGCATATTAGTGACCTTAAGATTTGACGACGCGCTCATCTACAACGCGAGCGGAAATGAATTTTAAACCAATGCGCATGTGCGTGCGTATTTGAGTTTTGTCGTGCTTCTACAACGCGGCGTCTTTGCTTAATCCCACGTCGTCCTAGATCGAAGGTGGAATTTTTCACAAAAAAAGTTTTAAAGTAAGGATTCAGCTTTTAATTCACCTGTTACAATTGTCTGTAGAATCTGGTATGTAATTGATTTGTTGATATTTATCTGCGAGTAAAATATGTTTACATTTTTGCTTTTAGCAAGGCAAAAAAATGGCAGAACAGTTTTCATCAGCATCAAATGATTGCTCATCAATTCTTCTTCGTTTATCAAAGCGGCGTGATACGCAACAGCTATAGCATTTCTTGTTTTTTTGAAGGAGGCCATTTTTTCGAAAGTATAGGTAGTGAACTCACAAGTTTGCGTCGTTAAGGAAATCCAATCTTAATGACTTAACTTACAATGACACGCGGACGCATTCGCACCAGGCCATGCGCGCCAAGCTCGCGTCGTTGTAACGCGCGTCGTGAAATCTTAAGGTTTCTAATTACAGCGAAGGTCAAACCCTGGACAACGCCAGGAGCCAAAGACGGCCGGCCCACCCCCGCGCCAGCGCGGCCGGCCGTCGGGGTCTATTATTCAGAAGTAGCGTATAGTAGGGTACGTGGTAAGATGAATAGTGAATTCAAAAGAGTACGTATGAAAAGACAAGAGCAAAAAGAAAGAAGAGAAAGAGAGAAAAAATTGAATAATATAATAATAAGACAAAGAGAAGAACATCTTAAATCACAAACCAGGCTGCTAATACAGACAGGTACGATACAATTAGAAGAAGAATATTTATATAGTATATAGAATCGAGATGGACACTGTTAGAGAGATTCTGCTACTATATAAACAGGGTATTATAAGTGGAAGAGCTCTAAACTCATTTCTTGAAGCTTTTCAACCACTAGCATCAACATCAAGAAAGCGTACTAATACAGCTCCACCTGAACCTCCTTCGGCACCATGTAAGCGCAGACCTATTAAACCTAATGACGTAATAGAAATTAGACCGCCTGTTATAACAAATTCCGTAGGTTGGAAAGCTGCGTATGGAAATATGAGCGACCCAGCGTTAATACGCTATAACGCACTTCAGTTTCTAAGTGCAATTCCTCCAAAAACTGAAATTCCGACGCCTCCGGCGGCCGGTTCACCCCCTTTGCCAAACGTGAAGTGTTCTTATTCAGTTCTAGATAATGAAGGAAAGCCTTCGGACTCGTCTAGCGCTTCGTGTAGCAAATCTTCATTAAACAACCGTTGAAGATTCGGGTATTATACTTTTTATACTGAGTGTGATAATTACTTTAGCAGTTCCCATCTGTTGAACAACTAATGTTGCATCAGCAGGTAAGTCTACATCTATAAAATCACTATAGCTACATTCAGAGTTAATATCACCAATACGATGTGTTTTTGTTTTACTTAAGACAAGTAATTTGCTAGGAGTTTGAAGTACTCGTAGTGCCCCTGCACTTGTAAAACATTTTCCACTTAATGATATTCGGTAAAATCCAGCGGTTTCGATGGTGATTGTACAAGAATCTGCTTCACCTTTTTCACACATCGCGACAATGGTCCAATCTGAACCTCTTTTTCCAGGGACTGAAGTACCAACTTGAGTGTACACATCTACTGGAATTTCTAGTCGTTTTTATGTTTTTCACGTCTTCTATGATGTTTTACACTACGGGCGTGGTGTTTTTTTGCCGGACGTAGCAAAGCTTTGAGAGCCTCACGCGTAGGTTTATCTACGTCTGAATAGTTCCAAGAAGATATGGCTATTTTTTCAGCATTAGAATTATATTCTAGTTGGAATTTTTCAAAATTTTTCTCTCTATTTCGTCGTGAGTATACTTCTACTGCTCGGCGAAAGAGATCGTTTGTTGATTCAAATTCATGAACCGAAGTTTCAGCTGTGTTAGACATTTTAATGTTTGTTTGACAAGACATAACTGAAGTGATAACACTATAAATATAAAGGAAAAATTTATTGATTTAGAATTAAGAATACTCTAAATAGTGTACCTGTTATCTTCGCGTCTAGTTAATGGGTATTGTACTAACATACGACATCAATTTTTTAGTGTTATCATGTACGAAACTAACATAAGGCCCACAACTTTGTTCAAACACAGTAGATCTAATTTTGAACCACTCGTGTTAAGAACGTTCAAACCAAATGTTTAATAATGCTCTTTTATTATTTTCGAGTGTTTTTCCAGTAGGAAACGTTACTAAAGTTAATTTGATTTTGGTTTGGAGTTTATGAATCAAAAGTTTCCGGACTGTAAGAGGGAAACCATTCCATGACATAAAAGACTGGAGTGTTTCAATTTGTTTTTTGAATAGTGTTTGGTTAGAACAAATCTTAAATGCGCGAAAAAATAGGGAATTGATCCAAGTAGTTTTGCAGTTAAAAGGTTCGAAACTTGAAAAATGTGTATATTGGCCAGTATGAGTTGTTTCATGAGAATTTCATTAGAAATCATAGCTAAAAATCTACGATATCTTTTGTTTTAAATGCATTCGGCTCATATAAAATGATATCGAAAATAATGAGTTACAATAAAACAATGTTAGCGGTCCAAAAACAAGAATATTTTATGAATAATAGAAATGACATTGTTTAGTACATGCAAACAAGTTAAGTCAATTGAGCAAAAAAATATTTCTTGTGATCATTTATGTACATTTATACCTGTATAAGATGGCAATCCTTGACAAAATAGCGAAATGATGATCCATTATGATCCATTATAAATTACTGGAACTCCAAAACCTTTTAGATTTGTGCTATAAAAATATGAATGTTTAAATAACAAAGTTTAACCATGGGCGGCCCAAAAATCACTAAAATTGTATAAACAAACATAACTCGCCCATTCCTCGTAACAGACCCCACAAACTTTGTATTGATTGATTGTATCTATATTATATATTTACCTAAAAAATATATTAATAAATAATAAAACAAATACATAAATGAATATATAATATAGATACAATTAATCAATACAAAGTTTGCGGGGCACGGTCTGTTACAATGGAATGGGGCGAGTTATCGTTTGTTTATATTTAAGAGATTTTTCCGCCTTTGGTTTAACCTCACAAAGTTAAATCTATAACAAATGTGCTTCGCCAAGAAAATGCTCTAGTGAAAAATGTGAAATCTCTATTTCATCAAGATTTCAAAGATGATAATATACCATCAACGTTTGGTGGTTATATTGTTAACCTCTGACTGACCATAACTTTCTTCAATTGTTTTTTGAAAGTCTCTTAATGTCATTCCATATTCCATATTTGTTTTTAACTTCTCTAGTTTAAGCATAACAGGACAATCCAGTGATATACAGCTCAGTTGTTCATCTCTAGCTCCACAACACTGAAAACATATCTACAATATGAAAAACAATTAAATGTCATGAAAAAGACAAATCATAATTATTAGGTTATTTATTATGCATACCTCTTTAAGATGACTGTATTTTCTTTCCCAGTTCCCCACTCTACTTGCCAGAATAAAGACAGACTTTTGAGGGTTGCTACGACAACTTTGACACAAACCGTGCTGTGTTAATTGTTCACATACAGGACAGTGTAGAGTAGTAAAAAACCGAGAAATCGAACGCTAAAATTCGTTCAAATAAATTAATTTAGCTTATACATCAATTAATGAATGTACTTATGACAACTAACTTTTTGTTTCCTTGCAATAACACGATGTCGAGGGATATAGCGGGATAGTTGTGTATACCATGAAAACACATCAACACCAATCAAGGAAAAAACTCGATCCAATGGAGGAAGTATTTGTTTCTGAACATAGAAGATGGTATTGAGGTGTAGATTTTTATCATTTAAAACATCAATAGGACTGAAGAAAATTGAAACAAGAAGATTGTTTAATAAAGACAATCATATTTATACTAAAGTATTTATTAATAACATTCCAACAGCTTTTGTCATGATACATAACGTAAAATAATGAAAGACAGCAACATTTGAACTTACTCTTTAACCCAGGGGTCTCCAAACTTTACAGCCAGAGGGCCACATGAACTTTCACCCAGCATGTTGAGGGCCGAAGAATATAAAAAATTTCCACGTTATCCTTCAGCTTTATAAATTTCGCAGTGTGCTTCAAACGGAAGTAGGAAGTTGGGAGAAAAATTGACGTAAGCCACTTTTGCTAGTTGGCTTGTGACATATCGTGAACTTTCTGCACAAAATTTATTTTGTTTAATAATTTTTTTTTTTCTGAAGTGCCTCTGCGGGCCGGATTGAGAAGCCCAACGGGCCGCATCTGGCCCACGGGCCGTAGTTTGGAGACCCCTGCTTTAACCAATTGAATCAATGACAGTCCAGGACTGCCGTTAACAATGACGTAAGATACACGTTCTTCCACGCGAGGTTCCACGCGATCACGTGACAAATGACATCTATACAAAAATAGAAATAGTAAAATTATAATCATGACAACAATATAAAAAGGATTTTTCATTTCAACAATAAAATGAACCTTGCAATTTCCAAAGCTGGAACACATGCTTTTGGTTTATATCTTTTCATACCACGATATTCCTTAGCAAAGATGAAATCCTGAATCGATACTCTATCTTTCATCATTTTAACGAACTGCCGCTGGAAAAACTTCTTCACAAGACTCACGTCTCTTTCTTCGAATAAAATCCTCAAAGACTTCTCTAAAATCTGTTAGAAAAATAAAATCACCGACTGCTTTGAACTCAAAATTACCCCTTCCCCCTCCCACCTACAGAATCTTGTGTGATTGGAAGACACAGTAAATATTGTCGATTGTTCCATACCTTAGAGTCCGCTGGACATGTATCTCGCCGTACAGTCTCCATTCCTTTCGCATCAAACACTCGATCTTTTTGTTCCAATGTTTCGTACATATAACCAACGTAACGTTTCTTTGTTTGAAGAACACAAGGCATATATACCTAAAAATCATCCCTAGTTATACATAAATGTATCTTAAAGTCCAAATCTCTCAAATAGATACAATTTTACAGTAGATAAAACCTTTTCAAACTTTAGTTTCACAGGTTTAGGATTCTCTGCAGTAACAGCATCAATAATTTCTTTTCTAATCTTAAACGCTTCCTCTTTACTGGCACCTTTTACTAATACGAAAAGACTATCGGTGTCCCCATAGACCACACAAGAACACACTCATCACATGTGTTCATGAGATTGATAGCTCGTTCCAGGGTCTCATGTGCTTTACGAACAATGGCGTCAGCAATCTGATGAAAAACAGAAAAGAATATTCAGATGGTTTTAAGAGTAAAATGAATCCAGTATGACAATAAGCACTTGATAGATTTTCAGTCTGAGAATGTGACTTAGTCCAGGCTCACGATAATCATAATAATCCACATGTATCTATATCATATATATTATATATTTACCAATTATCTGCAAATATCTATAGTAAATATATTATATATTTATTGTATTTAAAATATATATGTGTATTGGTAAATATATAATATATATAATATAGATGCAATCAATTAATACAAAGTTTACGGCGCACGGTCTGTTTAGATGGAATGGGAAGAGTTATCGTTTGTTTAAATTTGTATCATTAATACAAAGTTTACGGCACAAGGTCTGTTTAGATGGGATGAGGAGAGCTATCGTTTGTTTAAATTTCTATCATGACTACAAAGTTTACAGCGCACGGTCTGTTTAGATGGAATGGGAAGAGTTATCGTTTGTTTAAATTTCTATCATGAATACAAAGTTTACGGCACAAGGTCTGTTTAGATGAAATGGGGAGAGCTATCGTTTGTTTAAATTTCTATCATGAATACAAAGTTTACGGCGCAAGGTCTGTTTAGATGGAATGGAGAGAGTTATCGTTTGTTTAAATTTCTATCATGAATACAAAGTTTACGGCGCAAGGTCTGTTTAGATGGAATGGGAGAGTTATCGTTTGTTTAAATTTCTATCATGAATACAAAGTTTACGGCGCAAGGTCTGTTTAGATGGAATGGGAGAGCTATCGTTTGTTTAAATTTCTATCATGAATACAAAGTTTACGGCGCAAGGTCTGTTTAGATGGAATGGGAGAGTTATCGTTTGTTTAAATTTCTATCATGAATACAAAGTTTACGGCGCAAGGTCTGTTTAGATGGAATGGGGAGAGTTATCGTTTGTTTAAATTTCTATCATGAATACAAAGTTTACGGCAAGGTCTGTTTAGATGGAATGGGAGAGCTATCGTTTGTTTAAATTTCTATCATGAATACAAAGTTTACGGCACAAGGTCTGTTTAGATGGAATGGGGAGAGTTATCGTTTGTTTAAATTTCTATCATGAATACAAAGTTTACGGCACAAGGTCTGTTTAGATGGAATGGGGAGAGTTATCGTTTGTTTAAATTTCTATCATGAATACAAAGTTTACGGCGCAAGGTCTGTTTAGATGGAATGGGGAGAGTTATCGTTTGTTTAAATTTCTATCATGAATACAAAGTTTAGCGCACGGTCTGTTTAGATGGAATGGGGAGAGTTATCGTTTGTTTAAATTTCTATCATGAATACAAAGTTTACGGCACACGGTCTGTTTAGATGGAATGGGAGAGTTATCGTTTGTTTAAATTTCTATCATGAATACAAAGTTTACGGCACAAGGTCTGTTTAGATGGAATGGGGAGAGTTATCGTTTGTTTAAATTTCTATCATGAATACAAAGTTTACGGCGCAAGGTCTGTTTAGATGGAATGGGGAGAGCTATCGTTTGTTTAAATTTCTATCATGAATACAAAGTTTACGGCGCAAGGTCTGTTTAGATGGAATGGGTAGAGTTATCGTTTGTTTAAATTTCTATCATGAATACAAAGTTTACGGCGCAAGGTCTGTTTAGATGGAATGAGGAGAGTTATCGTTTGTTTAAATTTCTATCATGAATACAAAGTTTACGGCACAAGGTCTGTTTAGATGAAATGGGTAGAGTTATCGTTTGTTTAAATTTCTATCATGACAAGATCAAAGTTACCTCAACACAAGGCATTCGCCCTGAGAAGTTTGCGGATGTGCAACCATAAGTGACATTTGCAATCAACTTTAAAGCAAGTTGTCGAGCATCAAGAAGTTGAAGAAGAGTCTAAAATGTAAATTATTTATGATATTGAATGATTAAAGAAAACAAACGAAGAGTGGAAAGGCATCTTTTTTGAACATGATGAAAACTCCATGACGTTTTAGCTACTGAATCTTATAAAAACATCAAAGATCGCTTCAAAAACAAAGGTTTAATAAAACCAACTTACTTTACCATCTTTACAATCTTTCATAGCTTTCTTTACCATAATACGTGTGTATAATATCTCCTCTAACATTCTAAAATAAATCAAACTTATTGAACATATAATAGCCAAAGATATCAAGACCATTTAGGACAGTAAAGACTTAAGAAGGAACGCTATGTACATTGCAAAATATAGAACAAAATGCAAATGTTATTTTTTTAACATTCTTTTGAATCAATAAAAATGTGACCTGTAACCAAATGAATGTGAAATATCCCACATTACCTGGGTAAAATTCCTCGTCTTATGTTAGATTTTACAAAAACAGAGCCGTTGGCGCTTACATGAATATCATCTTGCAGTTTCTGAAAGGAAATGTATTGTTTCAAATGTATTGCTTGTCGTGATGGTAATTTATTAAAAATTCTCACCTCCAGTAATGTTGGAGGAACATTCAACGATGTACAACCAAACTCAAAATGAAAAACGACATGTAAGACAGAGAAAATGACTTTTTACCTTAATTTTATAATCCATGCTACACGACAGAAGAAGATGAGCAGATTTCGGAAAGAATCTTATTGCAGAAACACCTTTAGTGTGACCAGACCTAAGAGAAAGAGAAAGATAAAATAATACAATAATACATAAGTAAGTGGATAAGTAAGTTCAGGTTAGCAGTCCGATAGATACGTGAGTCGGAATCGTATAGATTATATGTAAATAATTTTTATTCGATCTAGTAAATAATGATATGGTATGTTTAACAGTATGTTTAGAGTATCTTTTACTCTTCTGTTTAACAGTATACCAAATGTAAATACATAAACTCACTTCTTTGCCAGGTCCTCACGATCTAAATTAATTTACTTAAGGTTAGCAGATATAATCAAAGCAAGACAATGATTAAGCTTTCGCTCAGAACATATAACTTAAAAACCTATGACGTCATGATTCTGGAACCTATGACGTCATGATTCTGGAACCTATGACGTTACGATCTTAAACATTCGCAACTGAAGGCACAAAGAGTTGTTAAGTTTAATGAACTAGTTTAGATGCTCTCTCAAATAAAGACCTTAAACGTGGGTCTGCTCCCCCCATCTGCAGGTTGAGGCTGAGGAAAGACCTCCCCCTCCCCCATCTGGAGGTTGAGGCTCAGGAAAGACCTCCCCCCTCACCCATCTGGAGGTTGAGGCTCAGGAAAGAACTGCCTCCTCACCCAACTGGAGGTTGAGGCTCAGGAAAGACCTCCCCCCTCACCCATCTGGAGGTCGAGGCTCAGGAAAGACCTGCCCCCTCACCCATCTGGAGGTTGAGGCTCAGGAAAGAACTGCCTCCTCACCCAACTGGAGGTTGAGGCTCAGGAAAGACCTCCCCTCACCCATCTGGAGGTCGAGGCTCAGGAAAGAACTGCCTCCTCACCGATCTGGAGGTCGAGGCTCAGGAAAGACCTCCCCTCACCCATCTGGAGGTTGAGGATCAGGAAAGAACTGCCTCCTCACCCAACTGGAGGTTGAGGCTCAGGAAAGACCTCCCCTCACCCAACTGGAGGTTGAGGCTCAGGAAGACCCCCCCTCACCCATCTGGAGGTCGAGGCTCAGGAAAGATCTCCCCCCTCACCCATCTGGAGGTCGAGGCTCAGGAAAGACCTCCCCCTCCCCCATCTAGGAGTAGGAACCTTGATGTATTTGTACACCATAGTATTAATATTATAAAATATAGCAATAATACCTGTCATATTCATGAATAATTTCACTAGATCTTGTATCCCACTAAAAAAAAGATATTTTATTTCGATGAAATTTCATTCATATAAATGTTATTCATAAAATCAATAAAATATCATTGATATCAAAATACCGTCAATATTTTCTTGTCAGATGTACCACAAACAAACAAATGTTGTTTATCCTAAATACGACATTATTGTCAATGTTTACATTTGATTAAATGGAAAAATAGCCACCCCTGGAATTCTTTTAACTTTTATTAAACAATTCAAAAAGTTTTTTTGACCTGTTCTGTTAGCTTCAGTTTTAATGTTAAGGCAGTGTGCGCCGTAGTCACAAATATTTAACCACTACCCCCCTACCACCATCCCCCCCCCTCCGTCAAAAATGAAAATTTATGCTTCTTCCGTTACGCAAACAATATTTACAAATTTTCACAAACTGAGCTATAAAAATGACGTACGTACTTCATCTGGATTGAACTTCACACAATATGGCACCTTCCTGTTCGTGAACCTTCCTAAACATTGACCTGGGCATAAGAATAACGAGAAAATTCTGTATTTTCTTAAACATGAACACATACACAACAATAAAAAAAGAAAAATAAAACAAACCTGTTTCTGTATCCCACATTTTACAGTATCTGTCGTAAGCAGCACTTAAAAATGAAGTTCCATCGTTGTTGAAGCATATATCAGGAACAGCTTTATTGTGGCCTAGAAAACGATACAATAAAACAGAAACAGTTTTTTATGTATGGATCAAAATCATAAATCACTGTTGTAAGAAAAGCGAAACATCAACATAACTTTGACAGGAGACGAATAAATTCCCATCTTTGTCTTTTCACTTTACTTTCATTTAAAAAATTAAGAAATTTATATTCAAGACTTACTAACTCACCGTTAAATGTTCACACAACTCTTCTGTTATTGTAAACCTCCCATAACTAAAAAATGAAATAAAAATTTATCATGAAAAGAAAAAGTATTGATGTGTTCATAAAAGAAATCAATCATTAGAAACGAACGATCATGCATGTTAAGGAAAAATTGGTTTCAACAATGTGAATAAAATTTATGTTAAAAATGAAAAATTTGTGCACCCCTTGCGTTGACTAAACCACTTGAACAACGACATGTAAGACAGAGAAAATGACTTTTTACCTTAATTTTACAATCCATGCTACCCGACAGAAGAAGATGAGCAGATTTCGGAGAGAATCTTATTGCAGAAACACGTTTAGTGTGACCAGACCTAAGAGAAAGATAAAATAATACAATAATACATAAGTAAGAATATCTCCATTGCTTTCTTTTATCACGACGGTAGAAGGATGAACTACAGGAAAACAAATACTTAAATGTTATTAAAAAGTGCTGTATAAAGTGAATATTTGCATCAGGAAGTATCGTTACGTTTTTGTCGAGGTTAGTAGAGTCCTGTGAAGGACTGTTGGTGTTAATGTTGACTGACGTTTCGACAACCTTAGCAGTAGTCAACTTCAGAGTCAAATGATAAGTAAATGTCAGGTTAGCTATGTTTCTTAAAATAAGTGCTAAGGAAGTCCAATACAATATCTACAAACATACGTACGTAGTACTAGAACAAATCATTACTTTATAATAAATAATACACTGATAAATATGATTTTATAAACATATCAAATGATCACCTAAACGTCTCAAATCAAAAAGAAGCATCGTATTAAAAAAACGCTCATATTTTAAGTTTATAATTGGATGAGACGCTTTCTCTAATGAATACTGTAATGTATAATGGAACTTCCTCAATACCATCAAGAATTATATCATAAACTGTCTTTAAACTTAATTCAATTATTGCGTGTTTTCCTTAAAATCTACAAAATTTAAAGCATATTGATGACTCGAAGTCAGACGTTCCATGGCGTTTCTAATTACTTTTTAGTAAGTAAACTTTCATATTTCTTACGTTTTTGTTTTACAGTAAAGTAACAGAAAACAAACAAAAGCAAGAACAACTAAAATTCAATAGCGTGTTTAACGTCATTTCTGGTATTCTAACTTCCATTTTTTGATTTTGAATAAATGAACTAAATGGAGAATTGTTTACATACCACGTATGAATATGTTGCTTTGGTAGAAAACAACGTTCTGGAGGAGTATCTGACTTGAGATTAATGCCAAGATCTTGTGGAATGTGAAGATATGATCTTCCTTGATAGTCATATGCATCTTTAAGTGAAAAATAATTACATTTGGTAAAAGTTTAGGAAACTACAGGAAAGTATGAAAATTTTAACTTACTGTGTAATGTGGATTTCTCTTCTGAAGGTTTCATATCATCTTTCTTTGATTTGTTTTTCTTCCATAATTCATACTCCTCAAGTATTGTTGACTCTTCCTGTATTCACCAAGGTAAAATGCCAGAAAAATAATTGTTTGATTTAAAAAATATCTTTATAAAACTCTTTATTTGGGTAATTGAAATACCTCAGATGGTTTAGCAATAGTTTCTTCATCAACAAACTTACTCCATGGTCCTATAGGATAACAGAGAATAAGAGATAGTAGGACAACCTTTCAAAAGTTATCATTATTGTAGTAATCGTACCCTTGTATCCATCAATCACACCAGGATCTCCCCAATAGTCTCTACTCCTCTTATCTCCCGCCCGCTGTTTTGTAGCTTCAAACACAGTCAATCCCTTGTTATCCTTTGTTTTCTCAACACCCCCAACAAAATCTTAATGGATAACAATTGATATAAACGTAAAACATTACCAAGCCTATGCATTTTCGTAATCTGAGTCAGTACTTTGCCAGCGTGCAGAAATTGAGTTTTCCCTTTCCATGATCTTCAACTGCTCGTCAATTCTAAACAGTAAATACGAAATCATTACAAATATAAGGCAAGGTCAGACAAGCACCTGCAAGTTGCATATACATCTCTACTTGTACGTACGTATAAAAACAAGAAATAATTTTTTATTCGATATTCCAACTTATTATTCACAATGTTACGACGTACATTCATAGCTTCAAAATTTTCCCACTTCATTTTTCTAAATTCACACTGTTTAAGACTTTAATATCTCTAGAAACATGTTGAACTTTTCAAACATACGTTTTCATCTGATTAAATGGAACAGTCAGTTCACTTGGATCAGTGCAACCATTCCATCGATGGTAAAGATCAGCGTACAAGGCCAGGTATATAACGTACTTGCATTTCCAATCTTCTTCTGTAAGTTGTTGAAGATTTACGTATATTTGTTAAAAAAGTTTTCTGTGGGTAAAACATTTCCACATAATGAGCATCAATAATTATGTGTCAAATCTGTTCCTTAGCTACAAGCCATTGTTTCTCAATTACTAACCAGTCTCAACTTCACGACCAAAAAAAGTCGATTCGTCCTTCATCCACTCACGAATATCATCTATTGAAATGCTGTGAGCTTTAAATAATGAAAAAAAGAAAATTTACTGCTTTCATGTGAGTCGTAAATAGTTCATATCCAAAATCGGAGTCAAATATAATCACACAGCAAATACAAACATATACTCACACGGAAAGCACCTGCATAACTTTTCAATATCTGATTTTGCAGTTTCTTCCACGTCAACAGCTCGCTTCATCCTTGCCATCAGCAAATTGCCTCAAAAAACAAAATTTAATTCATACCTGCTATTACATAATATGATGACATGTTAGCTATGTATATGTTCAAACAAAGAAAGAAAAACTAGCTATACCTAAATTAATTTTCGTTTTCTTTCCATAATGTAAAAGAGCATCACTGAGTACATCAACTCTGTGACTTGGACGCATTTCTTTAGTCATTCTGCTAAATTTGCGAATGTAAGCTCAGAATCTCTCCAACATCTCACCGTCAGTTACGCCAAATCCTTCTTTACGACGGGGACTAAATTTAACCTTTTACAAGAAAGATTTAGTAAACAATTATTGAATTTTTATCATTTTATCATCTACAATACCATTAGTTATGATAGCATAGGTATCACCATTTGTTAATACGTATGAAAAATAAAAACAATAACAACTAACTTGGCATCGTCCAACATGCCCATAGCAGTGAAAAATTGAAATTGAAAATTGTAAAATGTCAACAATCGGATCCTCCAAATTCTTTTTGTAAAAAACAAAATAGAGAAAAACATGTGAAAGACTACCTTTTCAAAGAAAAAAAGTGTTGAGGGAAAGTTATTGACAAGGGAACAGGTAACAAAGCAACTATTGTCAATTGAATATTACCTGTAAGTGTTTCACCAACATGCATGCAACATCATACAATATGTTTATTTTGAGTGCAGGATTATCAACATTATCTTTCTCTAATTCTTGGAGAACATAAACTGCATAGCTCAATCTATAAAATATGTAGAATATTTTTTTAAATAATGCAACCACATGTATGCAAAAAGCTTCAGCACTTGCACAAAGCATTGAAAGTAGCAAACCAACTGAAAAAATAAATTTACACCATCAAATGCAAGCATCCTAACCACCTCTTTCAAACCAAGAACATTTAGGTAAAATAGAGAAAATGTGTGTAACAGACCTCTCTCCATGTTTCAAATTTAAGAATTTTTAGGAAACTCATGTCGACAGCCTCGCCAAAGATTGCTGTTTCATCAAGAGCTCTGTAGCGATTCATTGATCGAACAGCATTCCCAGCAAGAAAACCATGACACTCCTATAAGTATCAATATGTAACAAACAAAAGTATACAAGAGCTTTATTTCCTAAAGCCCATGGCACAAATTTATTGAAAATAAAAACTATGTGGTAGAGAATGTAAAAAATCAAATATATTCAAAGCACTGTAACTTCCATGCCTGAATTTTCATTAGAATAACAAAGTATATTAAAGCTACATTGACCTTGTTTGATGTAGGTGTGGTATAATTGGCAACAAATTGATCAACATGTGTCTGATCATAGAACATCAGCTGTCCAAATAGAGGTTTTCCAAGACTCTGCCCAGCTTTTTCCTTCGTCCAATAAATAGAGCATCAAGAGACTCAAAGATCACACCATCAGTCTTCAATAAAATGGTGAAGGATAAAATCATGCAATGTATTTGAGTTCAATGATGCAAATTATGCAGTCAAAAAGGTGTTTGAGATAGCATTGCTAATGTTCTTTTTACTAAATTGTCATTGTTAAACAAGTAATACGAATATACTCACTTTGGGACAAGTAGGACAGATATTTCCTTCATCAAGCTCAGGAATAACACAGCTCAACATGTTTAGTTTATGTCTGTAAATTCTGAAAAAAAACCATGACACAAAGAAAGCAATTATGCACTCTTAAACAAATGACATAAACAAAATACAGTGCAAGACAGTAATACTTGAGGAAAAATCCTTTCCCATCATAAACTTTAGCATTCTGATTTCCTCCAATTAAATACATCTCTTAAGATGAGATTCTTAGGCTATAAAATTGACTGCAACTTTCCCAGCAATTCATACGTAGTACAGCAGTGCAATAAATCAGTGACCTACATGCAGTTACCTATATTCTTCAAAAGCATCTATAATGACAGGATACATTTTGGTGTTGCATAAGAAGAGAATATGTGGTTATGATTAAACTCTTCAAATGACTGACAAATGCTTTTTATTGATGCCTGGCATTCCATCTGCACAGAATGAATCAATTCAAAAAACTCAATTGCAAATGCAATTCTTGGTTTTGTAGGTGTTCCACCCCAAAGGCCAAATTGCAGAAGTTGAACAAACTCTGGAGAGCATGAGCAAAAGTGTACCTCAACAGTACAAAAGGTGCCTAAAAATTGAAAAAGATCCAAAATTATAATTGTGTTGAACCATCCCAGCTAAAATGAAAAAACTTTTGCAGCACATTTTACATATAACATACCTTTAACATCAACAACAGAAACACTTCTTTTGTGACGAGCTGTTTGGCATGAACAATCATACACCAGCATGTTCATGAGTTTATATGGCCATAACATGCCATCCTACAAAACAATGAATAACCACGTAGAAATTGGTTGTAATCAATCCCCTTTCTTGCATTCATAAAAAATATTAGATTAGTGCTTCATAGCATGTTTCACAATGTAAACTCTCATTTTATTTTTGCATTTTTTGTTGCAAGTGTTGAGAGAGTTAACTGTAAACACTTTTATAATATCTAGCTCATAAAGGTTACCTTAAATATTTCAACATGATGACAAATATTTACGGTTGTGTGCATCTTTAATATACAGTTCTCACAATACTTTGCCATTGGACCACAATCGCTGCACCTAAACTTTGCTTCATTATCACAATGAATACACTTCAGATTGCTCCAATTTTTCCCAGCAAACTGAAATGTATTCTTTATAATTGAATGTCGCAAATTTTCCCATGCTTTTTGTTTTCTTTCAACTTTCTGGTAATAAGAAGATGATTCTTCACAATCATGGTGAACATCACTTTCAAGATCACTGTTATCTTGTTCCATTCCCAGTTCATGGCCTTCCAATAAACCACAATTATCAGGACTGTTAAAACAACAGCTTCCTCTATGATCCTCAGTAACTAATTCTGACAAATGCACCTGCTCTCTCTCAACATGGCCATCCTCATCATGATATGTGACAGCTACAGTTGCTTTAAACCTTTTATTGCTCCTACAAAAATTATTATAAAAATCTATAAAATGAAAATAAATGTTGAAAAGTCTAACAGCTATAAGGCCGTTATTTGGTATACCTTGGCATCTTTTAAAATTACGAGCAAGAAAATCACAAATCAGAAAATATTATCGATGTTACCAATGACACAATAACATAAGTTAAACGACCAAAGTACAACGTATGTATCTCCCACGACTACCAGCCGACGTTTTGTACCCGTACTTTACCGGCTTTTAGCCACGTCCCATAAGACGAATGGATGATTTGTTTGGTTGGTAAAACGAAAGGGGTTTTTCTTCCGGTATATTGTAGGAGCCTTTTACCTAGGGGTAGGGTAACTTATCTCACGTGACCGGAAACGTCAATCATTTAAATTATTCCACAGAATCCACAAGAACGCCGCACCTGAGATCTCATGTAGTTGGTTGTGTCTTGTAATCTTTCTGAATTTGTGAAGGTATGTTGATTTTAAACTTTACCTTTGGTTGTTGTATTGTATTTTGATTTTGTGATTTAATGTTTCATGTCCATTTATCGATTATTTTGTTTTTCTGTAAAATATTCTACTTCCGCGTTATGTACGTATGTAAATGTTTTATAAAGATAAATTTGTTGATTTTGGTGAGACTTGGAACTAGCTCGAATCAAGTTTGGAAAATGAACTTGTTAACTTTCATATATCTTTATATAATTATAAAAAGAAATAAATTTCTACTATATAATAGTTATATTCTACATCATCATATTCTACATCGATACACATCATGTGCATGGTCACGAGGTAGTAGAGGAAATATGATATTCATGAATAATTTCGTAAAAGCACTATTGCTAATGCGTATTTAATATACACGACAAGTTTTTTTAAAATAGACATGTTTCGACAACTCATGATGCCATCTTCAGTATGAGTGAAATAATAAGTTATACAAGGTTTATATAAAAGTAATATGATACATAAATTACAACAATAAAGGGAAATAAGATAAATTAATGAAGAGCGTCCGAACGTATTATAAATTCAATATAATATTTAGTTTATAATACGCTCGGACGCTCCCCATTAATTTATCTTATTTCCTTTTTATTATTGTAATTTATGTATCATATTACTTTCATATAAACCCTGTATCACTTATTATTTCACTCATACTGAAGATGGCATAATGAGATGTCGAAACATGTCTATTTTAAAAAAACTTGTCGTGTATATTAAATACGCATTAGCAATAGTGCTTTTACGAAATCGTGTAATAAAATTAATGCCCAACATAAAGTTTTGATTAGAGCCATAGAAATAGACCAAAAATATTGTAAAATTGAATTTATTGTAGCGTTTCGTCTTTACTCAAGACATCTTCAGACAAATAATAAATAGGATGTTAAGACAAGATATTATATTTACAAAAATTTGTTAAATTACTACTAAAGGAGGCGGTGTCAAATGGATTATATGATAAGGAAGTTAGGAAGTAAAATAAAGAGAAATTAAAAGAGGTTAAGTCGAATGGAGTTTCCTTGCCCGTTAAGTGAAGGCTTGTATTTATTGATTAGAAGGCTCTCATGAATGGAGAGTTCATAAGAATCGTTAGAAGAGGAGATTATTTTAAAGTGTCTAAGTTGGGGGTGTGTTCAGTTGCGTTAATGTGAGCAAAGATGCTTGATAACGCAGGGTGGGAAACTTTGTTGCCTGTAAGGGGGGATATTCCCAAGTGCTCCGAAAATCTGGTGTGTAGATGACGTGTGGTCACCGCATGTGTGGTCACCGCATCTTCAACCTTTGTTCTATTTAAGAAAATTTTCATACACAACTCGAATTTACCAGAAAGTCACTCGCCAAAAACGGTTTTCCTTCACGTATAATTGACCAAATCACACGTCGCTTCCTTAACAACACCTCCAAACCACCTGTCTTGACTGCTCACAAAATGCCCATCTATTTTTGTCTTCCTTTCACCGGCATACACTCCCTTCAAATTCGTACACAAATCAATAGCTTTTTTGCTGCAGCCTTCCCACATAGATCTATTAAATTTGTTTTCCGCCCTTCCCAACGTATCTCTTCTTTCTTCCCCTTTAAGGACAAAATTCCCAAACCTCTGAGATCAGGTGTAGTCTACTTATTAAAGTGTCGAAGCTGCAACGCCTCGTATGTGGGTCAAACCACACGTCATCTACACACCAGATTTTCGGAGCACTTGGGAATATCCCCCCTTACAGGCAACCAAGTTTCCCACCCTGCGTTATCAAGCATCTTTGCTCACATTAACGCAACTGAACACACCCCCAACTTCGACGACTTTAAAATAATCTCCTCTTCTAACGATTCTTATGAACTCTCCATTCATGAAATCCTTCTAATCAATAAATACAAGCCTTCACTTAATGTGCAAGGAAACTCCATTCGACTTAACCTCTTTTAATTTCTCTTTATTTTACTTCCCAACTTCCTTATTATATAATCCATTTGACACCGCCTCCTTTAGTAGTAATTTAATACCCTTTTGTAAATATAATATCTTGTCTTAACATCCTATTTATTATTTGTCTGAAGATGTCTTGAGTAAAGACGAAACGTTACAATAAATTCAATTTTACAATTTTTTTGGTCTACTTCTATGGCTCGAATCAAAACTTTATGTTGGGCATTAATTTTTATTACACGAATTCGATTTCCTGATGATGCCATCTTCTGTATGAGTGAAATAATAAGTGATACAGGGTTTATGTAAGAGTTATATGATACATAAATTACAACAATAAAAGGAAATAAGATAAATTAATGGGGAGCGTCCGAACGTATTATAAACTAAATATTGTATTGAATTGGGACTTGGCAAAATGCATTACTTACAGTACTGACTATAGACAAACGGATTACATTAGAAAGTTGGTATACCAACTTGGAACAAATTTTTATTACACGAATTCAATTTCCGCTCGGCAAGTCTTTCGCTACTATTTTACGAAATGTTACCCTACTCTTACGGTGTATACCCATTTTCCCCCCCACTATGTCCACTATTGGTTGGGGGTGGAACAAGTTCAAACGTATCATTGTCAATTAACGCTTTCATTTCATCATTCATGGCTTTTTGCCATTTTACTTTTTCATTGGAGCTTATTGCTTGGGAATATGTCGTTGGGATGTTGGATACTCTATAGCAATAATCTACGGTATATGAGACAGTATCCTCCCCTGAAACTTCTTCTGTCACATACTCGTCAAGATATTTACTCTTACTTCTTATCCTAGTGGGGTATCTTGATTCTCTAGATGTCTCTGGAGCACTAATGTCTTCGTTAGTTGTTTTGGCGTTTCTTTCATGCAATTTTGCTATCTGAGGTGCAAGTGCTTCATCATCTAGTTCTGAAAGTTCCCTGCTACCCTCCCTGAAGAACTTAATGCATCTTACACGCTCTATCTTGTTAATGTCAGGGTAGTATAGTAGATATGCTGGACTATTTTTATCATACCCTACAAAAATACCTTGTTTACTGCAAGGGTCTAACTTTTTTGAATTTTGTGAATAACCATAACAAACACAACCAAAAACGTGCATTTGTTTGTCAAGTCTGTTTTTGAGCCTGTAAACACTTCGAACGGAGTTTAGTTCAACCTCGAATTAAAACAACGATTCCTACTATAAGCAGATGCCATGACGGCATATGTCCACATGTATTTTGGTAGTTCCGCTTCTAGCAATAGACACCTAGCCATGTTAAATAAAGTTAACCACGATCTCTCAACTGTGCTGTTCTGGTGTGGCGAATATAGTGCACTAGTTTCATGCCTAATTTGTTTTCCCTAAGAATCGATTTGAATTTCTCGCTTGTAAATTCTGTGCCGTTATCACTTCTTATGCGCTTCACATTTCCGTAAGGTGCAACATCTGCTAAAAACTGTTTTAATGCTTGTGGTGTATCGCTTTTATGCTTAAGAAAATAGACCATATTCAATTCTGAATAATCATCCACAAACGACAATGCATATCTAAACCATTCTCTTCCTTCCGGATCAATAGGACCTGCAAGATCCGTGTGATTAAACTCAAGAGGACCCCTCGCCTTTTTATCTTTCAGCTTACTTTTCGTCTGACACATTTTACCTTGCGTACAAACCACCTTCTTTAGTTTCCAAACATCCCTTTAGTTGCAATGACCTAGAACCTTGTGCCACTCGTAAAGGGAACATGCATTTTTATTCGAAGATGATATGCTATTTATATAGTAAAGTTTGCCTTTTTGTCTTATTTCAAACGTTGTGCCATCAGGGCATTGTACATGCTTATCGTGTTTATCTAATTTGACTTTTGCCTCCTTTTCTACGGCAGCATTTACTGAGAATATATTTTAATCGTAAGATGGGACATATAAGGCATTACTTAATAAGACATCCTGCGCATTTCCATGCAAGTCAACTAATTTGACTTTAGCAGTACTTTACCGACTACTACGTTGGCTTTACTGCCATCTGCTAATTCAATAACATGCGCTTTACTATCAAATTTACTATCAAAATCTATAAATTTTGACTTATTGTTAATAATGTGGCTTGTGGCTCCTGTGTCCACCAGTAGAGTTAAATTCACTTGATCCTTATTCTTCACGTCTGCTTCAGCGTTCTCTTCTTCATCCTTTGACACGAATAAAAAGAAGTGTTTCCGTTCATTGTCACAGCGCTGTCCGTCTTTAGCTGACTTGGACGTTTCTTTCGTCTTTCTGCAATCTTTCGTGTCGTGGGTCTTGGTCTTGCATATGGAGCACCATTTGTTCCCCTTCATCCGGCAATGTGAGATTTTGTGTCCCTTTCTTCCACATTTGAAGCAATTTCCGTCAAATTTTGGTTTC